TGGACTTAACCCCTTTGATTATGACTACAACCACAAAAATTTCCATTGAGATTTGTTTTTCATTAGAAGTAATCATTTCCAAATTCTTTATCTGTAAGATGCTTGAATTACTCATATCATAAATATAAGCACATAAAGGATCTTGGTCAATATCCTTAATATTACCAAGACAAAAGCAGGGTTGGAATTGAACCAAATCTAGTATTGGACGGGCGTATATTGTTCCGTTCTTCTGTGCTCTTTGTTGTCGGAGATTAACTGGTAATAGTGGACTTATTCACAATTATTTTTTAACCAGCAACAGTTGATTTCTTTCCTTACATTTCACTTGTGACAGATTACTTTTTTACAGGAGGTCAACTTTAACATATGACTTATGGGGATTTTGACTCCCGACAGATATAGCAATACATAATTAAAAGAATTTGCAATCAATTATGTCAGCATGGCTCTATGACCGAATCTAATTTGCCAAACATTTCACTTCATCAAAATTTTGAAACAGGAGCCTGATGTCTCAGACACAGAAGAGGTCAAACGTCACACACGTGGGGTCTAGTGTGCCAGACACAGAAGGGTTCTGATGTCTCAGACACTGAAGAGGTCAAACATCACACAAGTGGGGTCTAGTGTGCCAGACAAAGAAGGGCCTGATGTCTCAGACACTGAAGAGGTCAAACGTCACACAAGTGGGGTCTGGTGTCTCAGACACAGAAGGGTTCTGATGTCTCGGTCACAGAAGAGGTCAAATGTCACACAGGTGGGGTCTAGTGTGCTAGACAAAGAAGGGGCCTGATGTCTCAGACACTGAAGAGGTCAAACGTCACACACGTGGGGTCTAGTGTGCCAGACACAGAAGGGGCCTGATGTCTCAGACACTGAAGAGGTCAAACGTCACACACGTGGGTTCTAGTGTGCCCGACACAGAAGGGTTCTGATGTCTCAGACACAGAAGGGTTCTGATGTCTCAGACACTGAAGAGGTCAAACGTCACACAAGTGGGGTCTGGTGTGCCCGACACAGAAGGGTTCTGATGTCACTTGTCACAGAAGAGGTCAAATGTCACACAAGTGGGGTCGGTGTGCCCGACACAAAAGGGGCCTGATGTCTCAGACACAGAAGAGGTCAAACGTCACACAAGTGGGGTCTGGTGTGCCTGACACAGAAGGGTTCTGATGTCTCTTGGCACATAAGAGGTCAAACGTCACACAAGTGGGGTCTAGTGTGCCAGACACAAGGGTTCTGATGTCTCAGACACAGAAGAGGTCAAACGTCACACAATTTGGGTCTGGTGTCTCAGACACAGAAGGGTTCTGATGTCTCAGACACAGAAGAGGTCAAACATCACACAAGTGGGGTCTAGTGTGCCCGATACAGAAGGGTTCTGATGTCTCAGACACAGAAGAGGTCAAACGTCACACAAGTGGGGTCTAGTGTGCCCGACACAGAAGGGTTCTGATGTCTCTTGGCATAGAAGGGGTCAAACGTCACACAAGTGGGGTCTGGTGTGCCCGACACAGAAGGGTTCCGATGTCTCTTGGCACAGAAGAGGTCAAATGTCACACACGTGGGGTCTGGTGTGCCCCACACAGAAGGGTTCTGATGTCTCTTGGCACAGAAGAGGTCAAACGTCACACAAGTGGGGTCTAGTGTGCCCCACACAGAAGGGTTCTGATGTCTCAGACACAGAAGAGGTCAAACGTCACACAAGTGGGGTGTAGTGTGCCAGACACAAGAGTTCTGATGTCTCAGACACAGAAGAGGTCAAACGTCACACAAGTGGGGTCTGGTGTGCCCGACCCAGAAGGGTTCTGATGTCTCAGACACAGAAGAGGTCAAATGTCACACAAGTGGGGTCTAGTGTGCCCGATACAGAAGGGTTCTGATGTTTCAGACACAGAAGGGGCCTGATGTCTCAGACACAGAAGAGGTCAAATGTCACACAAGTGGGGTCTAGTGTGCCCGATACAGAAGGGTTCTGATGTTTCAGACACAGAAGGGGCCTGATGTCTCAGACACAGAAGAGGTCAAATGTCACACAAGTGGGGTGTAGTGTGCCAGACACAGAAGGGTTCCGATGTCTCCGACACAGAAGAGGTCAAATGTCACACAAGTGGGGTCTAGTGTGCCAGACACAGAAGGGTTCCAATGTCTCCGACACAGAAGAGGTCAAATGTCACACAGAAGGGTTCTGATGTCTAAGATACAGAAGAGGTCAAATGTCACACAGAAGGGTTCTGATGTCTTTGACACTGAAGAGGTCCAGCATCACACAAGTGGGGTCAGGTGTGTCCGACACAGAAGGTGCCTAATGTCTCTGACACAGGAGATGTCCAATGTCAGACGTGGGGTCTGGGGGCCCGATACCAAAGATTTCTGATGTCACAGGAGTCTTAACGTTTTACACAAGAGGGGTTTGGTGTGTCTGACATGGAAGGATGAAGATCTGCCATCTGGAGAAAGTTACCAGGTGATTGGGGAAAAAAATATACAAAGACTGTTTGTACCAGCTGATGCTATTAGTGCAACACAATGTACAGTAGATGCATAAATGGAATAATTTTTTATCCAGAAATGTTACTTCCTATCTTTTCGAAAGTACAACTATTGTATTTTTCTCACATATTGATTCTGGCAAAGTAGGAAACAGCACATGTATAAAAAATAACATCAGCCATGTCTCATATGTAAATAGTCTTTACTTATGTTTTATATTAGAACAAGGTAATATATCTTTGATGAATCAACAACTTCATGTATGATTGGATTAAATAATATATGATTTAGTAAATATGGATCATTGTGACAGGTTATACATAATTATGATATGATTTCATCACATTTAATTCAAATACAGTCTTATTGTTACAATACAACATAACAATGTCATTGATACATTATAACAAGCAGCCCTTCAGTGAGTGATTGCCACAGAAATAACAAAGGGATTCCAGTGGATATGTACAGAGGAATAGTGTGCAGTGATCAACAAAATCACAATCCAAATGGAACAGCTGTAAATGCCAGTAGTTTTCATTTCAAATTTAACATCTTTAGAAACACCGATATTGATTTTTTTTATTTCAGAAATTGTGTTTAAAAATTATAGTTCAATGTTTGATTAAACTTTTTTATTAGGAATTGTTGTAGAAGAAATCTTGTGAAATGTCTTACCAGTACAGTTCCCTATAGAGGGGTAACTGTCTGTAACATGTAAATACAGTACACGTATAGCCAACACAAGTGTACCTGTCTTTAATCAAGGGCTGCAAGCCAAGGCACATTAAGCTGAAACAATAAAGACATTTTAGGGACATTTGGTCAATACGTGACCACTTCAAACTGGTCTGCACCATACAAATCTCATAAAGTAACAACAGTTTTCAAATAATGGACATATGTAGTTAGTCTCGAAGGAACTCGCTAATCTTATAAAGGTAGAACATGCTACCAGGTAACCATGATCATTAGACCATGCTCCTGAGTCTGAAATGGTCAATATTAGCAAAAGAATCACCAGTCAAATGGTCACAACCATACATAGCTTTGTGCACAACATAATTATTATTATTTCAAAATATGTGCACATCTTAATAATTTGTTTTCGTCAAATTCTATGTACTATGTACTTGTTATTGTCATCTGAATTTGGAAAACAACAACCCTATGGCAATAATTAGAATCAACGTGTTCATATTTCGCAAATACTCTGCCATGTCACGAGGTGACCAGCATACAAGATGTCACTTTCACCTCCAAGAAAAGTTAAAAATCTTACAAAACAAAAGTATTGACAGCATAAATCTGATCATTTACAACAGAGGTTTTACTACAGTGAAACAGTTATAACATATGTCACCTGTACTAATTATCTGATAGTCTATCCTGTCCGTTCAATTCAACCATTTCATTTATTTTATTGCACATGAAATTCATCACAGAAGTTAAGATGATAGATGATAGGCCACATCACTACATCACTGAAACAGTAACAACCAGGCCACGAAGTACCTCAACACTTCGTACAAAAATACTGAACAGCTTCACAAACAATTTCTGACTAAAGAATTCCGAATAAATTGTTTACCAGACACATACATGTTACCATATAAATCTGACAAAACTTAATAGGTTATAGTTTTGAAGTGAACATGTACCAAATACATGATTTAGCAGAACAACTATACCTGGTAGTATATAGATTCTTACCAAAATAAACCCATAAAAAATAAAGCACCAAATGAACAAATCATATCAGACAGCCTTATCGTTAACTATACTGCTTGTTGTTTAATAACTAGTTGTAACCAACCTCTATAGTTTTCAGTCTAACTGTACTTTTTATTGAGTTTAACACAGTTGTATACCTAAGTGTAATTTGCCAGTTCTGTAACAGGACATTAGTGACTGTACTGACTTGTAGGTTTATATAGCACAACCAGTAAGATGTCTATGTGTGATGTTCTGATGACCAGTACAATATTCGCCTTCATCAGACGAGATAGACCTCTTATGACACAAGCGTTTTTGTTTGAGGAAGGTTAAAGACTACATATAGTACTAGCCATCAAAATGCCACACATGAATATTCCACTGGTTGTGCTATGTGAACCTGCATACAATATATATTTACAAACCTGAAAAAGATAATGCTTCACACTGACTACATTAATAATTCCTCCAAACTAGATAGTACACAATTTTTTCTTGGAAAAATCAAAAGTGCTTGAAAAGTTTGGAATGGTTGCAAAAACGAGTGCATATTTTGCAGTTTAAATTGAACTGTAATCATGAAAATCACAAACTTGACAACTTGAACCTGAACTCTGCCTAAAAACATTTCATAATTGTGCAATATTTTAAAAATATTATTTGGCATAAAACATTTTCTTTCAACTAACAAATTGGAGGAGAACCATTTAATTGTTATACACATTTAAAAATAAACAATAAAAATCTGAAATTTGCAACATACATGAATGGATAAATGTTTAAAATATGAATACTTATTATGACTGAAAATGTGTTAAAAACTATATTATGACTTCAAGTATAACATCATATATATTTACATCAGGTACTCTACATATGTAAGTGTACCTCTACAGAGAGAACCAGTATAAACGTTGCCCGAGGTGCCTACATTACTCCAAACTCTACAGATGTAAGTGTACCTCTACAGAGAGAACCAGTATAAACGTTGCCCGAGGTGCCTACATTACTCCAAACTATACATATGTAAGTGTACCTCTACAGAGAGAACCAGTATTAACATTGCCCGAGGTGCCTACATTACTCCAAACTCTACAGAGGTAAGATACACATGTCACATGTAGAACACCCCCCACATATAACTCCTAATTCCACATAAGTGCACCTGCTGACCAACCCAGTTTTTTTTAATTCATTTTTTTTCTCTCTTATTCATGATTGGAAGAGTATACAAACAATTGTTTGAATTCAAAATAATCAGTACCATATTGGCTAACGTTCTGAAACATGACCTCACTTTGATGTAATAGACCACACCATTAAATTGACATTTTTGTCTGCAGAAGAATATCTACAGCCAAAACACTGTCTATGTTTTCCTGCTCTTTCCAAATTTGTTCTTGGTAAACTTGTATAGTATCTTGTAATATATCTACTATATTTGTTGCAATATCCTCGTCAATCCCAGGTAAGAGGTAGCGGAAGAGAGTCGACTGATCGGGTGTAGGGAAATTCTACCCGTGGGTGTAGAAGTTCCCTATCCCCCATACCTACATATGATAGACTCTATTAACAATTCATAATAGCCACCAAGTAATTTTTTACACAAGCTATTTAAAACAATTGCACTTAAGATTTCTACTAATAGCTTGGGGCAACATACAATTGACAGGTGGTAGGGTCATCTGATAATCTGAAAATTCCCATGACTGTCTATAAACCCCGATATCGTGTGCAGCCCCTGATCTGGTTTAGATAAGTTATATCTGGACTTGTTGTAATACTTAACTTGGTTCCCATCACGGTTACAATAGTAACTGGAATTTCAACAAGATTGGATTGCAAAGATGAATTCTAGCACAAGCAAGTTTCAAATGAAGATATATCATTTTCAAGGATATAACGTTATGTATATGGTCACACAAAAAATATCATAATACTCCAATCCACAAATATGTTACTTAAGCCATATACAGCATACATGTCAACAGGAAACTGATACAGGACAGTACGAGTTATTGTATTAAAGCTATGATATAACCATGTGGAATGTAGAAAAATGTTTCCATGGTATTATTTTTATCAATCCTAATATACGGTTAACTTTCAAAATTTATATTTAAATATAGGTATCGGGGAAAAAAATCAATAAAAGAAGAAAAAAGACCCTAAAAACCTTTAAAAGATATGAAGGATAACAAGTATATGCACATACATGGTTGTTACACACACAAATCGTACAACCTATCTTCATGATCATATTCACACTCAAAATACCTGTGCACTTTGGCATTAAAATGTGCAGAGTGCTCAATGAGATATGCTGCCCAGGTCTTACAGATGACATACCTACAATTAAAGTTTGCACATCAACACACTAAGCTACAGCATCGTCACAACGTATAACCCAAACTGAGCACCACACATACATTCACTAGAAAACTTGGGGAAGCCATTAATTACACGAGTCGGGAATGGCTAGTTTACATGCTGTTAAAATGTATACAACCACAGGAATCAATACAGTGAGGTTCCACAAGCTGACTTTTATCGATCATGGTTATCTAAACTAATGTGACACAGAACATGATAAACAATGGTCATGAGATGTGAAACTTTGTCCTACCACAATAATTAGTTTTTAACATTGTTATAAGCAAGTACGGCAAGAATTTGTTTCAGGTGACAAGGTTGCTGACTGATACTTCAATTTTATTTTACAATATTTCCAATATTTCTTTCATCAATTTTGAGTGTTTGTAAAAGTAACCATTTGTAAATTATCCATTATCATGTCATTACATCACAGATAAAAGTCTGAAATGGGGAAGCTGAGGTCAAAGGGTGCTTATCTTCAAAGTTGCATGGTTCTGGGGTTTAAGGTAAAGGGTCCCACGGCATCTGTTACAAGATGCAAATAAGAGTTTCACTCCGAGTCCCTTTTTACTGTTCCCTTCTATATAGAAGACGAAGCACCAAAAGGACTTCTTCTGGATCACAATAAATTTCCCTGTCAAGTTTTGTATCTTTCAATGCTCATGGTTTTCTCATAGGCTTTATCATAGTTGTCTATAAATTGGACAGTTATTTTGACACTTAACAATCATTATTGCTGGATAGCAACATTGGTAAAATGTAGTCTTTGCAATGTGAAAGTCATGAATTTGATCCATGTAGTTTTCCTGCTTTTTTTTGTTCTATTTCTATTTTCAAACATTCAAATATTGATGTACTATAATTCTGTAAAATGCCTTGCAACATGTGATTTTATGGACTACTTCTGAAAAACACTTAAACAAATATATCAGACACCTACACCAAACCAACACGTTTAATGGGTCGACACCTACACCAAACCAACACGTTTAATGGGTCGAGACCTACACCAAATCAACACGTTTAATGGATGGTCTGGGAGTTGATAAGCAAGTGTCACAGAAAACAAATTTTACTTCAACTGCTTTGTAATTCAATGATAGGATTAGAACAACTAAATTTAGAATTCCTGACAAAATATGGGGTGGATTTTAGGATCTCATGGCTGTCATATGTGTAACATAATTTCTAGCTCAATGCAGGGTACTTTGGAAGGAAGCATGGCTTTGTACCAGATGTTTTATTGAAATTAGCAAGTTCACCTATTTTTTTTTTTATTGAAACAGGCTTTTTAATCTTGAAATGTTAACACTGATTTTGCAAAAGACAACATTTGCCTTAAAGTATTTGAGGTTTTGACGTTGACTGCCTCACTGCTGGGTAGCAGTGTCAGCACTGGAGGACACCTCGACCGTAGTGTCTCCCTCGGCCTTTACTGTCACCTCCAACTCCTTCTCCACCTTATCCTTGTCATCACTATCAGAATCCTGAAAATAAATTATTAGAAATGCTTCCATATTTATATTGTTGCATGCTATATGTAAAACATGATTAGCTTTACAAGTAATAAATAAAGAACACACTAACAAATAGCAGTGATCTTGCTGTGAAAAATATGCAAACCGCATCATATATCAGCTTTCTGTTCATGCAAATCTTTAAAATAATTCTTTCCAAACTTCTAAAGTACTTAAGTACCCAACAACTTACAATAAAACTTTTCTTCAAACCTCAAACAACTTATTACAATTACTAAATATTTGAAGTGCCTTACTGTCTTAGATTGGAAACATTTGTATGAAATTCAGTTGTTTAATCATTAATTAAATATATTTAAAATGTTGACAATAATTGTATATACAAGAGGCCCAGAGGGCCTGTATCGCTCACCTGGATACCTAAGCAATCATGGCAAACTATTCTCCAAATGAGATCAAGGGAATATGCCAGACCCCAAGGCCAATCCTTGTAGCATAGCTATATTAGATTTCTCATGCCCAGCAATTTTATGTATGGTTATGGGGTGGGGATCTCAACTGTTTCCAAGCTTTGACTCAGAAACTAGGTCCCTAGAGTTG